GCCGCCGACACGGGCAGCGCCACGGGCCGGTCCATGAAGCGGCCGCCGTCGTTCGGGCAAGGCGCGGAGCTGGACCGCTGCATCGTGCCGACCGCCTTCGGCGACGCGTCGCCGCCTTTCCCTCCGGAGACCGTGGGCCGGCTCCGCGCCATGGCGGAGGCCATGTTCGCCGCGGGGTGCGAGACGGAGTGCACGCAGGTGTTCCTGGTGGCGCGGCGGAACGCGCTGGACGCGTCGCTGCAGAGCCTCGGGTACGAGACGGCGAGCATCGACGACGTGGTGAAGATGCCCTGGGAGGCGCTGGAGTCGGAGATAGCGACGTGGATCAAGGCGTTCCGGCACACCGTCGAGGTGGACCTCCCCGGCCAGCGCGACCTGTGTGCGCGCGTGTTCGCCGCCGGCGGGCAGCAGAGGTGCCTCGGGCGCGACATCTTCGCGGACCTCGCGCACTGCGCCATGCTGCACTTGCTCAACTTCACGGAGGCCGTGGTGCTGACGAAGCGCGCCGCGGAGAAGCTCTTCAAGGTGCTGGACATGTACGAGGCCGTCCGCGACGCCGTCCCCCTGGTGGACGCGTTCCTCGTTCCGCCGGCGGCCGACGACGGAGAGGGCGAGGGGGCCGGGGCCGGGGGGCCTGGTGCCACAGCGGACGAAGACGACGGCGACAGCGGCAGCGCGTCCACCGCCCTGGTTGACCTGAAGCACGAGCTGGTGTCCGTGCGCACCCGGCTGAGCGAGTCGGCGGCGGCAATCTTCTGCGACCTGGAGAGCTCCATCCGCGCGGACGCCGGGAAGCAGCCGGTGCCCGGCGGCGCGGTGCACCCGCTGACCCGGTACCTGATGAACTACCTCAAGTTCGCGTGCGAGTACAAGAAGACGCTGGAGCAGGTGTTCCAGGAGTACCGGCGCCCCGACGACGACGACGACGCGGAGCACGGCGGCGGCGGCGGCGGGGACCCGTTCGCGGCGCAGCTGATGGAGGTGATGGAGCTGCTGCACGGCAACCTGGAGGCCAAGTCGCGGCTGTACAAGGACCCGTCTCTGAGCAGCATCTTCCTGATGAACAACGGGCGGTACATGCTGCAGAAGATCCGGGGCTCGCCGGAGATCAACGCCGTTGTGGGCGAGGCGTGGTCGCGGAAGCGGTCGACGGACCTGCGGCAGTACCACAAGAACTACCAGCGGGAGACGTGGAGCCGCGTGCTCAACCTGCTGCGCGACGACGGCGTGATCACCGTGAAGGGCCACGTGCAGAAGCAGGTGCTCAAGGACCGGTTCAAGCAGTTCAACGCCGCCATGGACGAGATCCAGCGGACGCAGGGGAGCTGGGTGGTCAGCGACGAGCAGCTGCAGTCGGAGCTCCGCGTCTCCATCGCCGCCGTCATCGTGCCGGCGTACCGGTCCTTCCTGGGACGGTTCTTGCAGCACTTCACCGCGGGGAGGCAGACGGAGAAGTACGTCAAGCTCAGCGGCGAGGACCTGGAGGCCATCATCGAGGAGCTCTTCGACGGCAACGCCGTGTCCATGCCCAGGAGAAGGACGTAATAATTAAGAAGGCTCCGGCAACCCGTGCCGTGCGTCGCTAATTTGGTTTTTATAAACCATTGTTACAGTATCTTATTTTTCTGTTTTTCTTAATTTCGATCGAGTTGCTCTCTTCTGCATTGCTCTTGCTCAATCACGGCAGATAGTTGTGTAATCATCGATTAATTAATCGATACATGTACCTGTTCATATATATATTACTCCCTCCTGTGAAAAATACTTGACACATTTTACTTTTTCAGTCTTTGATGCATATCTTTGGCTAGTAATTTAATTCTTCTAGAATATACTACTCATATATTTTTTTAAATTTAATAGATGTGTAGTTTTTTTTCTAGCTCGTCCTAAATTTATTAATGTAGACATAGATGATTTTTTGTGCACAGTTGTTGAATCCGTGCTGATTTTTTTAGCGTTTTGATTTTGACTTTTGACACCAATGCCATGTGAAGGAGGAGGAGCGGCAGGCAGTAGCTGCAAGTCGGCAAACAGCCATGTAAGGCCCATCCTGCGACGTATGGTCGTATGGTCAGGTCAGGCCCGGCCACTGGCAGTTGCTCGTAAGGTCCATAGCACCGCTCATTCGAAAAGTTATTATAGAACGGAACATTGGAACATTTGAAACATTGGAACACATTACAGGCTGCCAGAACTAGCTATCACACTTCCATAGCGGACCAAAATTTCAATGGGCTTGGGCTGAGCTTCTTCCTCACATGCTTTCTGCACTATGTGGTGGCGTGGAAATATGACATGCCAGAGGAGTTTTTTTTCCCTCTCATCTGGGTATAGCTGTAGTATCTACTTATGTACAGACACACACCACACTCACACCACGCGTACACAAACAAACCTACAACTATACTCAGATCACTAGATCGCGTCCTTTGTGAGATCACCGGGTCCAACCATGAACCCGTAGACGACGAGGCGCGTCGCATACCCTTTGTGGCTTCACGCGAGAGGCAATAGAATATTATTTGGGGGGTGAACCCCGGTGAGAGACTGGAAATTCGCAGCCACGGGGGCTCAAACTCCGGCCGGCAAGGTCCCAACCACCGGACCTTGCCACCCGAGCTACGCTCGGTTCTCAACATGCCGGAGGAGTTCTTCACCCCTCTTGACACAATGACAATTCCCAACATACCTCTCTATACGAGAAGGTAGGAGGATTTCTGGGTTGACATTTTGACAAACAGGGCAGTTGCTCGGTATGCTCGGCGTTTCATATGCTCGTGACGCGGCCGTCAAGAACGTTGCTGGTCGCTTGTATCACCGGACTAATTCGAAGGAATGGATGTCACTGTGGAAGGTGAGTCCCCTCAAAGATCCGTATTTTTCTCTGGCAATTAGCGAAGCACTCACTGCCGACCGGAGATGTGCTCCACCATAGGAAGATGACACAAGGTAGCGTCTGCTTCTTCTGTGGGATGGAGGATTCGTGGAGACACTCTTTGCTAGATTGCAACAAGGCGAGATGTATTTGGGCATTAGAGAAGGAAGAGACTGTGGAGCTCTTGAGTGGAATTTTAGAGAATGACACTAAGTCTTGGTTGACGATCATGGCAGAAATCCTACCACAAGAAGACATCGCTAGAGTGGCGATCACATTGTGGGCTATTTGGTATGCACGGCGGAAGGTGATCCATGAGAATGTTTACCAAAGCCCTCTATCGACATATAATTTTGTGGACAAGCTAGTATTGGAGCTAGGGCTAGAGATGCACGTGCAGCGGCCCCAGGCTCGAGTGCGCCAGAGTTGGCCGACATGGATTGCACCCCCCTCAAGTGTTGGTAAAATAAATGTTGATGTGGCTCTATCCAAGAACACATCCACGACCTCTGTGGCAGCAATAGCGAGAGACATGGATGGTCAATTATGGAAGCCTCGGCGCTGGTCCTTCAGAGAATTGTCGTTCCGGAGGTGATGGAGTCCATTGCATGCACAGAAGGAATGGCTCTCGCTTCAGACTTCCGAGCTAACAGTTTCAAGTTAGCCAGTGATTGTCTAAATGCCGTAAAAAGTATCCGACAAGGCAACCTAGAGATCTATGGACAAATTATCCGAGAGATCAATGTGAGGAAGACAACTTTTATAAGTATCAAGTTTGTACATGAGCATATATAGGGACTCAAATGCCGATGCTTATAGGATAGCTCGTAGCTTGATCCATGCCAAGTTAGGGCGGCATGTGTGGTTCTTGAACTCACCTGATGGTGTTTGTAATATGCCGAGTCAGGGCGGCATGGGTGGTGTTGCTAAAAAAATGTATGTACTAAAAATTGAAGGAGAGCTAGACTAGAGGAGAGACACTCACAGCCGACGGTGTGAACTGTGAGCATAAAGTTCCCTCTGCTACTAGGCTTCCAATTTTCCTCCATCTGCTACCGAAGGTCAAAATTTCTCAATTTACCTCATCTTATTGATACTATCATATTTCATTGGCAATTCAGTAATTTGGATTTCTATAGATGTTGATGTTTTTTTAATATATACTTGTCAAAGTTAAATAATTTCGATGGATCGGAAGAAGTACTTTTTAATACTGGTCATCCGGCCAGGCAACACTCACGCATCGAGAGTGAGATTCGATCTAAAGCCATCAGCAAATTAAACACTATTAGCAAACAAGTAATAATATATGCACATATATCAATCGTTTTGGTCAGTTGGTCACTATCACCATCCATATTTTATATTAGACTTCAGCATCAGCTAGCGCTACGTATCAACCCAACATTTTTATTAACATACATTGACGTTGTCACTGCACCTGGACGCGGGACATGCCGGTCGGGACGTAGCGGATGATCTGATACTGGTGGAGCTCGTCGCCTCGCTCCCAGTCATTCAGACAGTTGGAGCCCTGGCAATAATGGGCCTATGTCTCTTGTGCATGTTGCTGCTGCTTCCTCGGAGGACAAAGCCCCCATATCGATCGTCTGTCTTCGCCTGTGCGTAGCTGTGGGTCGCCGCATGTTGATGGGCTGGCTTCGGATCCTTATGGAGACAATGGCACATTAAGCGCTCTGCAGTGTTTCGAGCAGTGTTTCGTTGAGGCCTTCAAGCGTTCGCTGACGTTACGGTCGTAATGTACTGCCGTAGAGTCATTCGTATGTGTTGTATCTGTTAGGCTCTAGCTCTAGCTTGTAGACACTCTTGTTTGTTCCTGAATGCTAGCATCTTTGCCAGCGGGTTTGAAAACAACTAGAAACTTGTCAATGTCGTGTAACTTTGAAACTTTTCTGTCCTCATGAAAAAATAGGCTACGGCTTGATTGTGAAAAAGAAAAACATGAATACGGACGTTAATTTCCACATCATTTGTGGTGGTGTGGTGTGACTTGTGAGTGCGACCACGTTATTATTAACGATGTGTACAATACGAAAGACGAAACAGAGAGCTGCTGCTACTAGCGGGTGGCCACATTCCCGATCGAGGCAACCTAGCCAGCTCAACACTTGGAGAAGACCTTGACGTCCCTCCACCACGACTCCATGAGGTAGGACATGCCGTTCTTGGTCTGCCCGTACACGCCGAACTTGAAGTAGTGCGAGTCCCCGCCGCGGCCGGGCACGGTCAGGCGGTGCTGGCCGTCCACAAACACCGTCACGTTGGACGCCGCGACATCGTGGACCACGTTGAGGCGGAACCACCTGTCGTAGACGCCGGCGTCGACGACCCTCGTGTCATCGTGGTAGTAGGTGAGGTTGCCGTCGTAGACGTGCAGCATCAGCGTCGTCGCGTGCTCCGCCGCGCCGAAGATCTGCATCACCGACGCGCCCGACGTGCCGTACGGGATGTACCCATAGCCCTCGAACTGCCACACCCCGGAGCTGTAGATCAGCTGCGCCACCGACGGCCATGGCCGTGATCGGAGAAGAATCGAGAAGGAAACTCTTATTAGTAGTGCATATGTCACATCAGATCTTGATCTAGCGTTCTTGGCCTAGCGTTACTGTTACCTCGATCTTGGTCTCTGTGCGGGGGCCGCCGGGGTGGGCGGTGGTGATGGGATGGTCGGTGGCGTAGACCCACATCCGCCGCACGCCGTCGACGAACTCGTACCGCTCGGGCAGCGGCATGTCGTAGGGCTTCTGCACCTTGAACAGCGCCTCAGGCAGCTCCACGGCGGTGAAGCCCTCGGTCAGCAGGTCCTCGCCGCGAGCCGAACGCAACAGGGCGCACGACGTGGACACCAGCAGCAGCTGCAACACGAGCAATGGCGGCGAGGCCAGATGCAGGAACGGAGCGCCCAAGCCACGAGCCATAGAAACTGCTGCACTGAACCTTAGCTTCTCTCTGACGCACGCACACAAAGTCACAAACACACCCTTTCAGTGGCTCTGCCGCTGTGGCTATATATCCTGTATTTTGTATATGTATATATAGATCACGAGATGTCCATCTCTCCTGTCGTCAACACGCTACATCTGTTTTCGACTGCAAGGGTTGCAAGCGACAAAAGTTGCCGGCGCGCGGCGCGTTGTTAATTAAACCGGAGGTACCGGTTCCGCCGGCCGTCGGAGTTGTGGATGATCCCCTGAATCCGTGCCAGATGTTTTGTCGCTGCGTTCCTGCCGTCCTGGAACTTTTTTTTGCATGGAATCTGTATACAGCACGCGGCCGTGCATATCTACCCCAGCTGCACAACAGGCAGCTAGGTTGGCGCGACGGCAAGGGGTGGCAGGCTGCAGCTACGGCACGACGGTTGTGAGCTGCAGCTACACCCTAGAAGGGAGGCACGGCGGAGGCACACCATCCAGATACTAATCAAGAGATCAAGGAGAGGAGAGAGCCAAATATGGAGTCACGGTCATGGAGATGCTAGGACCGGCCAGGGGTGGAGATATCGGAATTTGGAATGAGGTGCTATTGGGCCTTCGCTTGCCTCTGCTCGCCTGCTGCCTGCTTGCCGGCGGTAGGTAACCCTTGCCACATGGGGAGCTCCGCCTCGGACCTGGCAGATGGGGCAACGGGGGAGGAAAGAGGCCTATGGTGGGTGAACGGCCTGTCACACACTGTTTTTTTTAAAAAAAAAACAAATGCACATCATATGTATGTCAAAATCTGTTTATTCATACATGCAATGACAATATAGTGATACAAATCAGTGTTTATTATAAAAGCGATTACCTATTACAAAATGACCAGAGGGTCTAAACAAAAAATTACATCAAAGTATGAGCGAAGCAGGGTCTCCATCCCCCGCGGGCAGCCGACCAGGACTACACCGGCCTAGAATCGACAATGTGTTCAGGAAACACCAGCAAGGGGACAAAGAGAAGGATGAGTACATCGAAATGTACTCGACAAGTGTAGGAAAGTATAACATGAGGGCCAACACAAGGAAAGGCTTAATTATACAGGTTTGACACACACGTACTTAATCGACACGTCCTAATTTTCCTTTAATCCTTAGCACCTAATTACTAGGTGAAATCTTCCTTCTCCTCATAGAACCAAACAAACACTTGGATTCTATCCAAGCTCACATCTGTAAGGACCGTGACGCCTAAGAGGGGGTGAATTAGGCAACTTAAAATTTTACTTCCAAACTATGGCCTCTAATTCCAACCTGAGCAAAATCTATGCAATAAATAAACTATCTAAATGTGCAACTATGGTTTTGCTAGGTGTGTTGATATCTCTCCCGTAAAAGGAGAGAGCGAATAATATTCTTGGTGGTGCAAATAATGCGCTCGGCTTTACCATTTTGGGGCGAAGTGTATCGGCAAGACATACGAAGGGTGGCACCCCGAGTGAGAAAGAACATGCGGGCGCTGGAGTTATCAAAATCACGACCATTATCACACTGAACATTCTTAATGGAGACGTCAAACTTAGTGGAAACATAAGCAAAAGAATAGTGAGAGTGATGAATGTGTTAGACTTGAGGCGTAAAAGTCCAAAGAAAATGCGAGCAATCATCAAGAATAACTAAGTAATCAGAGATGCTAACCATGGGGAAAGTCCAAAGGTCACAGTGTATTAAATCAAAATTATGAGCGGCTCGCAAACTAGAGGTATGGAAAGGGAGACGCACGTGGCGACCCAACTGATAAGCATGACACAAATATTTGGACTCAGCTTTATTACATGAAATGGCAGAAGATGACACTAAACGGGAGAGGGCGTCGGAGCCAAGATGACCAAGACACCGATGGCAAAGGGTGGAGTTGGAGCCAGCTGCAAGGGTGAGGGGCCCAAAACCGATGACAAGTGCGGGTAGAGCGGCCCGGAACTATTGTACTTGATGATCACGCTCTGGGTTGTGAGGTCCTTCACAGAGAAACCATATGGGTCAAATTCAAAAGAGCAATTATTTTCAGTGGTGAACTGACGAACGGGAATGAGATTTTTAATTAATTGGGGAGAAACTAAAACATTATTTAAACGTAGGAAGCCCTGAGCAGTAGGAAAATTAACAGAGCTGGTGCTAGTGACGGGTAGGAGGGAGCCATCTCCAACAATGATATCTGATGGAGTGGAAATGAAGGAGGTTGAGAAACACAAAGATTACCGGAGTTTGATGTCATGTGAGTCTCAGCACTAGTATCCATATACCATTCAGTCAACGGTGTGACTGAAGTGTCATCGTGTTGAACGACGACGCCAGGACATTTTGGATCCCATGCAAAGCCGGCCGGGTGGCTGATCCAGTCAGGGGGCGCGGATGGGCCAGCAAAGCCTAGCGGCGGCAACTGGTGATGCTGGTGATGCAGCGGCCCTAGCAGTGGGGCGAGCGGAGGAGGCCCTGGCCCGTGCAGAAGGCTCGGGGTGATGGTGGCCCGGCCCAGTAGGCCTGAAAGGTGCCATAGGCGGTCTGCCAGCCAGGTGGAGGCGGAGTGGGCCGCTGCGCCTGGGCAGCCCATGGAGCGCCTGGGATGGCTGAACCATCACCAGCAGCACCAGACTTCTTGCCGCCGCCACCATCGCGACGTGTTGGCTTCTTGCCGGAGTTGCTGCCGGCGACGGGGTCGCAGAATGTTGGTGCTGGGGCACGAGGAGCGGAGGCAGCCAGGGCCATCGACAAGTTGGTCGGCCATCGCCTTGAGTTGACGGCAGTAGTCGTCGATGGAGAGATCACCCAGGATGAAGGTACGAAACTCGGCGTCTAGGAGGAGCGCACGAGTCTCCTTGTTGCCAATGAATTGTTGCTCCAGCCCTAGCCAGACGATGCGAGCCGTTGGCGGCCCATCCTCGAGTTTCATCACCACCTCGAGAAGATCGGGGGTGATCGTCCCGTAGAGCCACGAGAGGACGACGCAGTCCATGCGCTTCCAAGTGACGTCGTCGGAGCGATCGTCATTGGAGAGAACGTGGTCCGTGCGCGAGCCTGTACCGCTCGATCGCGTTGAGGAAGGGGAGTACAAATTTGTATACATATCTCATCTTTGGTCTCTATTTTTTTTAAATTTTTTGTCCTGGTTTGCTTTTTTTTCCTACCGTGACTCTGGTTTCTATTGTTTAATTCCTTTTTTATTCCTGTTCGCTTTCTTTCCCGTCCGTGACTCCGTTTTGTGTTTCGGCAGTTCGTCTTTCAGTCGTCTTTTTCTTCCGTCCGTTTTTTCTTTGTTCTTTTTTCTGGTTTGGTCCACATGTTTTCTTTCCACGATTTTTTTTTATTTTTTTTCAAGTTTCCATCTCTTATGAGTTTTCTTTCCGTGGTTTATTATATTCTTTGTTTAAGATTTCATCTGTTTGGAATACTTCTTGAGCTTTCGAGAGGATATAGAAGAATAGCAATGACGAGACAAGACTGAGGATACATCAAATGTAACAAAATTGTGAGAGCCTACACATGGTGTTAGGTAAAAACCATAGTAGAGCCATCAACAAACTCACACGAGATCTAGCTACTTCTTGTCAGGCTGATCTCTACCAACCACTGTGCCGTCGCTAGCATCGATAGCACAATCATGTTTTCTCTATGCCCGCCACTCTTCTTGACCGCTAAGGCACTATCAAGGTTCCGTGTTAGCTCAACCGCGGCCGTCGGGCCACGTCCGCGTCATCTTAGGAGCCATGTACACAATGGCACTGTGCTGCCCACCTTGTCGCAGTGCGGTGCCGGCCTAGGTCTGCATGGTGGCCACCGCGCCACCGACACAGACTGCTTGGGCGTGACGGGTGACACCGCAAGCGCGCGCTGCCATGGCCGCCATGCCGCTGGTTTAAGCCGGCCTTGCAGTGGCCGCTATGCCCACACACAGCTCAGTCATGCTACCACTTTCATCGCCGATACTATAGTAAATTACAGTCCTGTTGCAATGCACAGATATTTTTGCTAGTAGTATCAAAGAGAAGGAATCGCGCACACGCACACATATTTTTAGTAGTACCACCTAGATACACATAAATATATAGTAAATTTGAAGATTGATTTAGCAGCCCATAACACCTCATTACAATTATCCTCTTAATGAAAAATGCGTGAAGTCGTGTTCGCGAAAAAAACGCCTTATTGCAATTCGCTAATTCAGCCTACACCAACTGAACAAGAATCCAAGAACCAACTATTCAAGAGCTAACGAACCTATAAATTTGAAGAACAAATCCGTTATAATGTATAATATATGATTATATGTGATAATACATCATAAAAACAATGCATAACTATGATGAGACATACTTTGGCCTTGGCCAATGCCGACTCCCTCAGCTTCAAGTTCGCTCAGAGCACTAGCAACTCGTCCATGGCCATGCTCGCGCCTAGCACCAGCGTTGCTCACCTGCTCGCCGCCACTAGTCTCCACCTCCTCCTCCATAACCGACGACAATGGGCACTGAGGTAGTGCTGCAGTGTCACTATGACATCACCCCAACTGTATATAACAGGCCGCTACGACTGCGCGACAGCAAGGGGTTGCGGGCTGCAGCTATGACGTGACGGTAGTGAGCTGCAGCTACACCCTAGGGGGGGGGCACGTTGTAGCTATCCAAATGCTAATCGAAAGATGAGAGGAGAGAGCCAAAGATGGAGTCACGGTCATGGAGATGCTTGGGCCAGTGGCGGAGTTAGAGCAAATCTGAGGAGGGTGCATTTGCCTTTGTGGGTGCAAGTGTTTGCAATGTATGGATGCATATATGGTTGAAATTTGAGTCTTGTCACTGTTTTTTTTGTGGGTGCGGCCGCACCCACTCAGATCAGTATAGCTCCGCCCTTGGCTAAGGCCGACCAGGGGTGGAGATTCGGGATTTGGAATGATGGGCTATCGGGCTTATGTACTATTGGGCCTTTGCTTGCCTCCGCTCGCCTAGTCACTCA